GCTCTAAGCGCCTCTACCTCGTTGGTAGTGGCCTAAGAAAAGCAAATAATTTTTTGTAGAACATGAATTGGGCGGTACCTAGCGCCACCTAGCCTAGCTACTTGCAATTACTCTGCTTGACCCCGCCATCTGGTGGCTAGCGATTTAACCTTCTTTCACGCTACGCGATAAACAGCGGCTTCGAGTTCGTTCTTTCGAGAGCGGCTTTTGGTTTCGCGGATTGAGTTTGCCCTTCCTTGTGATGTGTGGTTGACGAAGGAATTGTGACTCGAGGAACACCAAAGGTAAGACGCGAAGTGCGCGAAGTAACTGGGTATCGGTTGTCTCCGTTTAACATCGCAGTGCTGTCGACGAGCAGACTGAGTAACTGCTTTCGAAACGCAAGTTTCTGTACCTGTGGTGGGAATCTGGCTTCGGAAATAAACACAGTTTGCGGAAAGCTCGTGTTACGCTTTTATTTGCTGCAGCTCTCGTCCCGTACAAGAGACGTAGCGTCCTCGCTAAGCCTTAGTGGGCTCGATTTGCTCGATTCGGGGCCGCCATATTGAGATGCAAGCGACGGAGGAGCTTTGCTCCCCTGCTTCAGGGACGAAGGTTTCTCCCTTTCTAAAGGAACATAGGTTACAAGACCATTCCTCGCGTGAGGGAGGACTATACGTACCCTTTTTTCTAAGAGTGTACGGTCGGTGACGTAGTTAGATCCCTTAAATATTTCATTAGTGTGAACCTTTTGCCCGCGAAGTTCGTATAAAGCGGTTTTTTCCCGCTTTGTTTTTGACCGCACACAGAAAAGAGAGAAGGAGGGCGACTGCACTCAATACTATGATTTGGTAGGAACAGCCAATATTCTGAGACAGGTGGCATTGCTTGAATGGGAGGTGCTTCAGAGGCAGCAAGAAAGGAGACTGAAAGGACGTCACTGGGATGCGATAAGAGGTTGGAATCTTGTTACTAGTGAGAGCGACAGATCAAGAAAAATCTACGAGCTGGAGAGGAGGAAGCGGTCGGAAACTTGTTCCAAACAAACCGTGAATTCCATCATGTTTTCTAAAAAATCCTGATCTTTCCCCGATTACCAGCTTGAAACATAGCCCTAATTTTTACCTTCTGATTTCGAAAAGAAAAACAAACAAACAACTGAATAGAGGACTAAATTTATAAACTTAACTCGAAGAAACCCGAATTCAGGAATTGGTCCACATAAAACCGAATTTTTCCCCGATAATCATCTTGAAAATTAGCTCCTGTTTTTCACCTCCCGAATTAAATATATATATATATATATATATAAAACTGAGAAGAAAAAAACCCTTAGTGGAAACAGCAACAACGGACGATTTAATCTTCGACGTTTCGGCCGGAGTCCGGCCGAAACGCCGAAACGTCGTAAATCGTCCGTTGTTGCTGTTTCCACTAAGGGTTTTTTTCTTCTCAGTTTTATACCCACGCCTTCGGCCTCCCGCCACCATGCCCGTTATATATATATATATATATATATACAGAACAGCACCTGAGAACAAAAGACGGCACTCGAGAGGAATATGCTCAAAGAAATATTTGCCCTTAAAGGAGTTGGTCGAGGAGGTTGCCAAAAAAGTTAGGCAGTGTCTATTCTGCCGGCAGCCGGCAGAATAATTTTTCCGACATTCTACCGGCAGTCACCTCCGGCGCGTGTATCAGTGGGGAGCTCGTTAACATAGCCCCCCCCCCCCCCTCCCTTTCCTTTAGCGGCGACAGTCTGCGGCTGCTCATTAGAAATATATTGACCTATTTGGCCCACCAGTACCACCGCATCGCGGCGGCGTGCCGGCCGGCCCAAGCACCGCTGTCCTCCATTCACCCCCAAAAAGGAAGTGTTTTGTCAAAAACATTCGTGTTTTCTTTTTGTGTTCTTTTTTTCAGTGTTAATTCTAAAAGAGAGATGTCGTAAATATCGCATAATACCTCAACAAAAAATCAAAATTTCGAAGAAAAAAAAATTCCCTCGGGGGATTGAACCTGCTGTGTATGAGGCGCACATCTTACCCACTAAGCTAATCTACAGCTTAGAATAGGCGTGTTTACAATCCGTTTTATACGAGACCCAATAGGCGACTACTGCCGGCACTTTTTCTCCCCGGTTATTCTGCCGGCTGCCGGCAGAATAGACACTTCCAAAAAGTTAGCTTGATGAAACGTTTCGGGCCTGGTAGGCTCTTCGTCAGTCAAAGTAAGAACACTTCATTCTCCTTTTCTTTCAATTAAAGAAAAAACGGCCGGAAAAAAGAAGAAGTTAATTCGAAAAATGCTTACCGTTTAGCGGGTATCTACTCAACTAAATTCTCGCTTAAAAGTTTAATATATCACGATACCAATGCAGCAAATACTATGTAAATAATTAAATATAATATTATTACTGCCATTCTTATCATAAAACCAGTTTTCGGGACATCTTGTTGGACATAAGCCAACTATACCTGGTGTCATGTGGAGCCAATGAGAGGCCCAAAGTTAAGCGTTTGCTCGTGTCGCATTAAACGATAAAGCGAGAAAGGAAAAAAAAAAAAAAAACAGTGCGGCACCGATTAGGAGATCTCAATTAAATGTCCATAAAAAAAGACGGCAATGATCCTTTCGAACTGTTAAGGCCCTTCGGTTCTAAAGTATTAAATTTATAAATAAATTCAGATTCTTTATTTTTTCGATCTCTGGTGGTCCCTGGAGTATAATAAAATTAAAATCAGAAAGTCCGTTATCTCCTGCGGAGTTTAAGTGACGAGAAACTGGTCCGGCAACGTGTTTACGTATATGACTTTTATGTAGATTCATGCGTTTTCTTATGCTTGTTTTAGTTTCTCCTATGTATTGAATTTGGCATTTTTTACATTGAATCAAATAAATAACATTTTCCGAATTACAGTCAAAGATACCATTTATTTTCCAGTTAAAGTTATTTGCTGTGCTACGAATAGAGTTACCTATAATTATGTCCCCACATAAACTGCATTGGTTATGATTGCACTTGATGCAACCAATAGGGACCAGGCTACGTCCGATGGAGTTTCGGGACTGTTTAAAGAAATCTAATAAATTACGTGCTCTCTTAAACGCTATACCAGGGGGTCGAGGGATAACTGCCTTTAAGGCTGTGTTCATGTGTAAAATATTCATGTGTCGTCTAAGAATTTTGTTTATGTTTGGAAGTTTTGACTGGTAAGGTAAGATTAGTCGTAATTCATGGTTATTTCTTTTTGGCCGCTCTACTAAACACGTGTTCCGAGAGATCGCTCGACTTATTTAATCGACTTACTTAATTTAATTTAACATTTAATTGAGATCTTCTAATCCGTGCCGCACTGTTTTTTTTTTTCTTTCTTGCTTCATCGTTTAATGCGACACGAGCAAACGCTTAACTTTGGGCCTCTCATTGGCTCCACATGACACCAGGTATAGTTGGCTTATGTCCAACCACATGTCCCAAAAACTGGTTTTATCACAAGAATGGGAGTAATAATATTATATTTAATTATTTCCATAGTATTTGCTGCATTGGTATCGTGATATATTAAACTTTTAAGCGAGAATTTAGTTGAGTAGATACCCGCTAAACGGTAAACATTTTTCGAATTACCTTCTTTTTTCCGGACGTTTTTTCTTTGATTGAAAGAAAAGGAGAATGAAGTGTTCTTACTTTGACTGACGAAGAGCCTACCAGGCCCGAAACGTTTCATCAAGCTCACTTTTTTGGCAACCTCCTCGACCAACTCCTTTAAGGGCAAATATTTCTTTGAATATATATATATATATATATATATATATATATATATATATATATATATATATATATATATATATATATATATATATATATATATATATATATATATATATATATATATATATATATATATATATATATATATATATATATATATATATATATATAACCCGAAAACGAAGAACCTTCTTTGTATGCCATTTTCTGACGAAGCCGAGCCTCTTTGGCGAAACTGTCGTATCATATACAACAAACTTCCTAGCATAGCAACTCCGAAAGTACGGAACTTTTACTATAAAGCTCATAAAAAAAGAAGACTTCCAGATGTACACGTGACGAGACAAACAGTGGGAGAATTTCTGGAGCATAAACGAGCACGTACCACGTGTCAGCAAGCGCCGTACCGCGTCGTACGCGGCGGCGCGTGTTTGCAGAACACCTCCGATTGGGTACAGTTCGTTTCTTGTGCATTAATAAGACAGTTAGGAAACGCCGGAAAGCCAAGGTAGGGTGGTGTAATGACCCAGCGTTCAAATTCTGGCTCCACCGTTATTTTGACTTTCGGCGGGTTCCTAAAAACATTAATTCATTGGATTAATTACGGTTCCTTCATCTGCATATGTTTGTTTATTATATATATATTTTTTTTTCATTTATAGTATATACCCCATGTTGTGTTGCGTCTTGTGCATTTTATTACCGATCCGTATCCAACGAGAATGTTGTGTTAACCGATAAAAACGTCCGAATAATTAACGATTCACGCAGCTTGAAGATGGTACGACGTGTCCTTTTTTTTTTAAGCTCTCAGAGACTTTTGTGTATAGTCGCTGTAGTCTATAATTCATAGTCTGTGTGACAGCTCCAGTTTTGAATTTATCGGTTTTCCGCGACTCTGATAAAATAAGTAAATTCCGAAAGCACGGAATCCTACCGATACATTACGAAATGATATGTTCAGTGCTCACAGATTATAAATTATATAATTATACAGAGGCTCATTCGCTTCACATGAACTCATGAAGCACGAATTATTTAGCTGTGAGTCAACCACGAAAGTGTAATTTCCTATTCAGATTAAATATTGGTCAAGAATTTACACGAAATATTATTTTTTTTAAATGTTAAGAGTAAGTCTCTCTTAAGTGTATAGCAACTAAATATTTCTTATTGAATAAGACATGTGCTAATGTATGTATCTTGTAACGTTGCATATTGGAAGGATAAACTTTTGCTTTTGCAGATATCTGCACCGAAGGAAGCGTCGGGTATAAAACATGTCACGAAATGGGAGCGTTCTGCTCACCAATTCAAGCCAAAAAAACATTTCAATGTGACTGTTGGCGCGAAGATCTATACTACGACGCAAATGAAACAATGTGCAAGCGTAAGTACCCTTTTTTCTTGTACACAGTTACAGCATGGTTGTGAAACATTAGCAATTTTGCGACTAACTTTGGGGTGTTGAGGAACTGACGACGCAACGCAAGTATACAACGATGGCAGAAAAGTCAGCGGACTATTGAACCGCACGATGATGTATATTGACTTTACCAGTACCACCAGCGCATTGGACTATCGCAAGGGCTTGAACAAAAACGGCGGAGTGTCTACGGGACGTCCCCGCGAAAAGTGGGGGACAACCACCACAGGTCAATAGGGGCGTTGGAAACAGCCCGATGAGTCGCCGGCAGCCTCGGTGGACTAATGGGAGCTTTCGACTGGGATGTGGGATGCGTAAAGGTGAAAAATGTTAACGCGTCGAAAACGTTCAATAGGAGCACCCGCTGCACCATCAAATAATGGTGTTACTTTGGCAAATAGGAATATACAGCTATTCAACGGTCACATGGAATGCTGGCCGGAGAGGTAAAAAACCCTGTAGCGATACTCTTTCCAAACTGAGAACTGAAGCCGTCGGGTTCAAAGCGAGGGCCATTAGTGCTGCTGACAGAAAGAAAGAAAGAAAAAAAAAAAAGAAATATACGAATCGCGTAAGAGTTTCACGTATGCATAGCATGTGAAACGACATTACAGTTAACTCCGGACGTTTAGCTCTTGTGTTCGTGCCGGTTTGGGAACGGCCTTCCCGCACGTGCGATTTCGGCACCCGGTGGTTTTGGGGACTCGGAGGCCAATAAATAAACACTCAAAACGAGTAGCAATAAATTGTCCCAACTGCTGTTTACAAAACTGTATTTTTTTCTGAATCTTTTCGAGACAAACGGTGCAAAAGTTAACACGCGTCACCCGATACCCCGGGTTGCAGCGTCTTCCGCGATACCTCGCGGAAGACGCTGCAAGGCGATTTCTGGATCCTGTGGCACTTACGCGGCCCGGCTTTTGCTTTGCATCTTTTTTAACTGCGTTAGATGACAGACGAAGAAGTTGTACTCCGTCTCCCAACGGTTTCGCCTTCCTCTCCCTCTCGGCCAATGTACCTACCCCTATTTTTATGACGTGTCCGACCCCTGCCTGTTTCTTACAGTCTTTCGCGTCTATCACTTGAAGAAGGGCGTCCGCCCGAAACGTCGTGTATACCTCCTTGTCCGCGTATTTTTTTTCGGGAAGCACAACCTTATTACTTGCGATTACGTGATTTAACTTCCCAAGTAGCACACTTCCTCGGCCCAGGCTCGGGCCAGATTGCCGCGAGCTAGAGCCGAATTGGCTCACGCTTGGCACATGCTTGCGCCAAACTGGCCCAAGTATGAGCCGGGGAAGTGTGCTGCTAGGGTTCAGAGGTGCCGATCTACCTGATCTCCAGATAGATGCTGCGAGCAGACGCAGCACACTGGTGTCTTCTCACTGTGCCTATCGGGAGGTGGTGCCACCAATTAGTAGCGTCTCTAACTTCGTCGTCTGCAGACACGTGCAACGTGAATATTAGCAAGTATGTTGCTATAAGGAGTATTCACTGGACGCCATATTTGTGGGTGCTGTTTAGAGCGCATGCTCAGAACAAACTCACATTACTAGGTTCCTGAGACGGGCAATCTTGATGGTGTGGAATGCGCGTTGCAAAAGAACTGTGGAAGCTCGCCATGAGCACGCGCTCAGCAGTCGCGCACGCGGCTATGGCCGCCAGTGAATACTTCCTATAATTAACAGGTAGAAAACTACGCCTGAAATTTCACAAGAAAAAAAAAAAAAACTCCCACAGCGCACATTCGGGAAAGTGTCAGCTTTTCATAAGGATATACATGGATTATTCTGTAGAATCTATGCGGCATGGTGTTTTCCCACACATCCTGGAAACTGCTGTTGCAGTAGCTAAACAATAAACAGCGTTAAAGTGGAATATGTAATTATATTTGTCGCTGCGAAAGGCGGATGTAGAGGACAAAGTGCTGGATGTCGCCTAAACATAGAAAGATACATCACTGGAAGGCCCAGCTGGTACTAGAGGGCAAGGATGCGGAAAATATCAAAATCCTGAATAAATATTTAAAAAAATATATTTCGTAGCACATGTAGTGTGAACATTCCTGTTTTAAAGTGCAAGTTCTTCTTTTGTTTACAGCTATATTATAACTAATGATACATAATCTCAGTAAGATTGCGGGAGACTTCTCCATAAGCCGTTTGTTTATCTTAAAAAGTGAACAATATTCGATTTGTTTGTTGGACGACTAATTAAAACATATGATACACAACGGAAAAAAATCTTGCTGTTTTGAGTTTGCCTTCTTGTGTATAACATTTCCTTATTGTGCTGTTGATGTGAAGATTGGCAATCGTGTGAACCAAACCCATGTCGGTATGGAAAATGCACCGATCAAGGCGGAAAGAAGCCAAGGAGCTGTTCCTGTCCTAGAATGAAGGACCTATACGAAAACTGCCAGAGTGAGTAATTTATAATTGAAATTCAACCAAGAAAACGGGATTTATATGACTTTATCTCGCATAAACATCTTGACATTATCACTTTATCTCATGTGTAAATGTTAATAGTCCTTGAAAAGAAAAAAAGAAGAGCGCCGTGTGACATGCATAATTATTTATGTATACTATTCATATCTGCACCGTTTTTACTTTGCTTGGTTGCACCACCCTTTTATAGGGGCTCTGCTTTAAAGAATAATTTGTCTAGTTGGTATTTAGCAGGATACCAATGTTTCAAAGCGCAAACACCATCGTCAACAACTGGATATGTTCCAGATATTCCTGTAGATGATTTATGCTGACTCCAATTAGCAGCATCAATGATTGTTGATTGATCACTGTTCGGGAGAAGGTAGAATCAACGGTTGCAATGAGATAACAAATTTCCAATATTAGTGCTACCGAAGTAGAAATTGAGAGAAAAAGACTTGCTTCGGCCACAAGAATGATCATGTGGTGACGCACGCACCGACATGCAGGGGCCCCCGAGAATATTTCTCCGCTTGACCGGCTCTTGGGAGCACCGGATTACGATACACGATTCAAGTGCCGCGTCGTCGGCGGAACATTGCCGCACGCTTGCATCAGCTCCGCCGATGACGCGACACTTGAATCAGGTATCGTAATCCGATGCTCTGCAAGTGCACCCCGCGGAAAAGAAGTCAGCCCTCCTTGATAAGGCAGGACCGTGCAGCCTGCACAGAGGTCTTTCTGCCCAATGACGCCTTGCGGATGCCGCTGCAACCGCCTTACGACGAGCCACACAAGGTTTTAAGGCAAACTTCAAAGAATATTTATCTTGAAATCCGTGGCCCGTACCGAGGTCGTCGCAATAGACCAAGTTAAGCTGGAATCAACTGGTGAAATCGCGAAGCAATACGGCAACCAGATGATAGAGCAGTATCTGTGGTGCGATGGTGAGGCATGAGGTTATTATCCAGTGTTAGGCAATCTGGTTATTGCGTTGAACTGATGCAAGCGTGCGAAATGTTCCGCTGACGACGCAGCACTTGAATCAAGTATCGTAATCTGATGATCTCTCGGGAGACGCTGCATGTCGGTGAGTGCGTCACCATGATAACTTAAACTGTAGGCGTTATGCTGTGATGATCATGTCTGCCTGGAACTACGCCCTAGCCAGGTGAGTCTCTGGAGCCTATAGTTATCTCTCCGCTCGCAATAAAATTACGTTTTCGTTTCTGAAGCTCTCATTGGCTATAGGCCATTTTATTAATCGCCCTTTGTGCACTTCCATTTGTTTCTACTAGGATGTGAAAAGCGTTTTAAATGTGCCCTGAGGTTTTTTAGATCGCCTAAATATTGTCGCGAAGTTTTGCTCGCGCGAGTATTTCGTCTGTCTTCACTTTATGTTTTTGCCTTTTTCGAGAGTTCTTTCCGTCTACACGGGACGGCTGTTGGATTCCGCCGGGGTCGGGGGACCCCAAATGGGGGAGAACGTGAGCGCTGTAACACTATACTTGATTTACAGAACCCCGCGTTGGAAACTTTTTGTCTTGTGTATGTTTGCATTTGGGATTTCTACTTCGGAGGTGGTTTTGCGCTGTGTATGTGTAACTTCTCTGTCTGCGTACGGAAGTGCTTTCTGTTGTTTATGGCTGCTCTTGTCAGCTTCGTTTGGAATGTGTTCTGTCTCGTGTATGCGCATGTTTTTTGGAATGTTCGTATTTGCTTTGTGCTCCGAGCCTTTGATTGGCTCTAAGAAAACCCCTCTTGATTGGTCCTTCCCAAACTTTCTTATTGGTGGACTGAAGGACCCCAGAATGCTGCTGAACTCAATATAAGAGGCCATCGAAGGGCCGTAAGGACTTGGCTCCCGGATACCAAGCCTTGGACATCTCCCTGCCTCTGGAGGCCAACCTGCACGTCCGACCCCCCTTCGGCTGTGGAGCCGTCCGCCCGCTAGCTCACAAACTTGGTCCCCCTTACGGCTGTGGAGGAGTTCGGCTCGCCCGCCTTTGTGTGGAACTGTGTTTGTCGAGTTTGGCTGTGGTCGGGGCCCCCGCTGAGGGTGTGTGTGGTCAGGGAGGACGGCAGGGAAGGTTTCCTTAGGTTAGAATTATTTTCCCCCCAAAAGTTTAATCTCAAATTATATAATGTTCAAAGTGATGTAAAAGAGTCTTTGTCTAGATCTCTTAAATAAACAGTGTTGTTTGTTAACATCAGTAATCGTTTCATCAACGAAGAAGAGGACGAGTTATTTTCTTTGTGACAATATGTCGATAACCAAGGCGGGCCCTAAGCTTGTTAGAAATCAATTAATCATAACGATGCGCGACCGATTTCCTTGTTAAAAGGCGATCAAAGATGGAACACACACAGAGGTTTTCCCCGGCGATGGAGCCAGGACGACATGTGACCAATGAAAACACCATATTTCGTTGAGATTGCAAACGTTGCTACCACAAACTGTGTAAGCTTTTATAGATGATAAATGGAAATCGGGGTAGTCTTTCGCGCAGAGGGTTCATAGTACAGCACTAATAATCTCAATAACTACGCACTATGCTCTGATTTTTTTTTTTTTTTTTTGTGGGAGTGATGTGTTTGGTGGCCTGCTCTCGAGCGCGCGCTCGCTAGGTAGACTCGTAGTTCGGACTGCATGGGCAACAAGCCTCGCGCATTCGAAATATCGCTGCGGGTTCCACCAATCGGAGGCGCGAAGATCCTTCGCTTGCGATTGGCTGACAGTGGTCCTGGTTTCGGAAGATGATCCTCCAATCACCGCAGATGACCTCGGTGTGTCGCGATCTTCGACTGCTTCGGCTTGAGCGGCGTCGCCGTCGGCGGAGCCGCGCGGTGCGTAATGGACCGTCCCATAACGCATCGCGCGGGTCTCGCTCATGACCTGCGCGTTTCATCAGGGGACGTTTCTCATAGTGACATCACGAGTTACGTCACGAGGGTCCCGCGCGTTGCATTATGGGAAATGTCCCATGATGCAACGCGCGGGAGGAGAGAAGGAGAAGAAGAGGAGGAGGAGGAGGGGTGGATGAGGGGGAGGGGAGGAGGAGAGAGGAGAAGAGGAGGAAGAGGGAGGAGGAGAAGGGAGGTCGAAGGAGGAAGAGGGGATAGATACCAGTTACCCGTTGTGCTTGCAAGTGATATCACCATTCATAAATTACAGAGAGGCAGGTATAAAAACGGGGTGTATACTCGTCATCCAAGTGGCCACCTACATGGGTACGGGTCTGTGCTGTACCCGCCGACCCCTTGCACGTCAGACGAAGTTGGTAAATTGTGTGCCGCTAAGGTCGACAACGGCTTGCTCGTGGTAGATCCATATCTCTCGCCTACGGCACTCACCGAACGTTTCATGGAAGACAAAAAAAAAAAAAAAAAAAACTTCATACCAGTCATGCAGGAAAACATCCCATTGGCCCCGAGAGACGTGCACTCGCTGTTCTGTTGTGCCATCTCGAGGGAGCACGCTCAAGACTAATGCTGAGGGAATCAAAAACACGGAGCAGCCTTCGACAGAGCCGACAGTAAGTAGGATGACACCGACAGTATCACGTGCTTCGTTAAAGTGTAGACTTTAAAGCTATCTCGTTTTCCCGCCTTGATCCTGCTGTTCTGTTTCCTGGCACCGGCAGAACTTAGACAGAGTGGAGCTTCCAGATGTGAGAACTATATTTCCTTTATCCGGAGAAGCGGTGAGCGAGAATACCAGAATATATATATATATATATATATATATATATATATATATATATATATATATTATCCCCCACGTGTAATTGATAATGCGATTCCCCCACGTGTAATTGATATTATAATTATCCCCCACGTGTAATTGATAATGCGATCGATAAAGCCAGAATGTTGAACCGCAGCGACCTCCTGGAGGACCGTCCCCCGCAGAGCAACACGCAACGTACAAATCTGTGTCTCACCTATAGCACTAACTATCCTAACGTAAATAATATTTTAAGACGGCACTACAATATGCTCGAGCAGAGTGACCGCCTAAAACGCGCATTTCCTTCCCCACCGGGGGTGATCTATAGACGATCACGCAACATTAGAGACGTGCTGGTAAATTCTCGGTTAAACTCTGCACCGCGACACAATGAGTGCAGGCCTTGTAATACACCACAGTGTTTAATCTGCCTACAAATTCAACAAACAGACACAGCCAAAAGCACGCATTCGCAATACTCTATGAAAATTAAAGGGGAACTGACATGCAACTCTTCAAATGTAGTGTACTTGCTAGAGTGTAGAGTATGCAAAATGCAATACGTAGGACAGACCGAGACAGCGTTTAGACTACGCTTTAACAATCACAAATCTCACTCTAAAACTAATCCAGGCCTTCCTCTTTCAAAACATCTCCGTCTCCCAAAGCATTCTTTCGACGAACTATCCGTGACATTACTGGAAACAGGATTTAGATCAAACCGGGAGCGCGAACAGCGAGAGTCATACCTCATATACAAATTTAATACTATAGAAAAAGGAATAAACGAGAGTCCAGGAACACTTGCATCAATAAGAGCATTAACCTAGACTACCCTTTCATGGTGGTACTGTATTTTCGACTGGAATTGGACCACGTGATTATTCTATTGAGACCCCTATATTGTGAATGTTATTTTCTATGGTACCGTGCTGTTCCCGTGCTTTTCTCTTACATGCGCGCTTCATGTCTCACTAATCACAGCTCAGAAACGTACCCTCATTCATCGCCCCCCCCCCCCCCAAATACCACACCCTCTTTTTTTTTTTTTTAAGTTGGAAGACAGGGCAAACATGTTTTTGCGATTCTTTGAATTTTCGGTTTTCTTGACACGCGCGGCGCCCCAGGGGTGACCGTCGCGGGGATGCATTGGCGCGTTGGGGGCCATCAGCCAAGAAGACGTCGCCGTCCACGACCTATTGTGGCCACTGCTGTGAGCGTTCAAGCGCACTTTGTATTTCGCCGCCCTGAAGGAGGAGCG